GCGTATAATACGGGTACTACATAGACAGTTTTGACAGAGTGCAAGTCTTTATCTTGTTTAAAGTTTTCATTGTCCAGGTCTTTAAAGTGCTTGTGTGGAAGCACTGATAAGCCCTGGTAGCTGTGATCTTTTAAGGGTTGCATGCTACTGTGAGCCCTGAGAAGCCACATCATAGCAGTCATGATGTGCAGGACTATCCTCTTTATAAATGCATCCAGTAAACAATTGATTTTGCAGTTTTTTAATTTGTCATTTAGCCAATTCATCTCACTTGTTTAGGAAACCCACTGATTTTCAGTTTCATTTACTACCTTTGAGTCTGGCAGGTATGAGGAGGAACAGGTTTGGACAGGTAGGTCATCCACCCCAGAAGGTGTGTGGCAGAGCCTGAGATGCCGTGATCTGGAGGCAGCCCGTGTCCACGCATCCTTCTCTTGGGTCTTTTCTATCCGCTCCCAGTCTGACAGCCACACGGCCGAGTGCTTGACTTGTGTGAACAGTCCACATATCCTTCTGTTATCGTTTTTCTTTCTTCAACTAGACCATAAGCTCCTTTAGTGCAGGAACCTTAGAATTACTTTGTTTCTGCCGCGCTGTATTATACTGGCTTCCACTTTGGAAGCAACTAGAGTCTTGATAAATTTAGCAAAGGGTACCCTCCAGACTCATGGACTTGAAAGGTGGTGTTTCACTCGACCCTGTGTCCTCTGGAGAGCTCCTCTGGTGGCTGAACCAGTAAGATCTCTAACCTGAGAGCAGGTTCAAGCTATGGGCAAACCCTCCTCTGGCAGCTGAAAAGTCTGTTTCCATCTTGTCGGGCACAACAACAACAACATCAGTAAGAATAAGAGTTCAGCAAATGCTGGCTAATACTATTGTGTGCCTAGGACTATTCTAAATTATTTAGCTATATTTTAATTTTGTGTTTGTGTGTGTGTGTGAGGAAGACTGGCCCTGAGCTAACCTCTGTGCCAATCTTCTTGTATTTTATGTGGGATGCTGCCATAGTGTGGTTTGACGAGCAGTGCTAGATCCACGCCCAGGATCCTAACCGGCAAACCCCAGCCCGCTGAAGTGGAGCATGTAAACCTAACCACTACGCACCGGTCTGGTCCCTAGATATATATATATATATATATATATATATATATATATATATATTTTTTTTTTTTAATTTTTATTTTTTTCGGATGTACATATTTCAAATTCTGTATACATCATGTTCACCACCAAAACACTAATTATAGTGCATCCCCTCACATGTGACCCTAATCACCCCTTTTGCCCTCCCCCCTCCCCTCTTCCCCAATGGTAACCACCAGTCCAATCTCCAATGCTATGTGATTTTTTTTTTTTGTCGTTTTTATCTTCTACTTATGAGTGAGATCATATGGTATTTGACTTTCTCCCTCTGACTTATTTCACTCAGCATAATACCCTCAAGGTCCATCCATGTTGTCACAAATGGCCGGATTTCATCATTTCTTATGGCTGAGTAGTAGTCCATCGTGTATAAATACCACACCTAGATATATTTTAATTTGTTCAAAGGACATTGGATTCAAACTGCAGATCTGCTTAGGCAGGTTACCTAACCTCTGTGCCTCAGTTTCCTCTTCTCTAACGCATTCATCATAGGATTGATTTGAGGATTGAATGAAGCACCACAGTATTACCTCCTCGGCCCTTACAGATCTTTTATCGGAGCTTGGCGCATTCTAAGAACTCAGCATTTAGTTGCTACCTGTGTGCTAGTAAGATTTAAGTGCCCCCATTTTTAAATGAAGAAACCAAGGCTTGGAGAGGTTCCTTCAACAGATGTGTGCTGTCTACTGCTGGAGTCTGGAGCTCGCCCAGGTCAGTGCGCTGGGGAGGGCTGGGTCGGGGGCAGAGCCGGGAGTGGGCGCAGCCCCTCCAAGCGCTGGGCTTGAGCTGCTCTGCTGCTGCTGCTGCCACCCAGCTGCGCACCCCTGTGCTGATGAGCATCTCTTGACCCCTCTGGGGGAGCTGGGAAGTAAGGGAGCTCCCACCTGATTGCGGAGCATGATGCTCCGATACCTCCTGCGGTCAGGTAGCACAGTACGTACACCGCAGATCTAGGTAATTTTACCTGTTAAACTACCCCCTGGAAAGAGCTCACTGATAGCAAATAGTGAGGTTACTCACAGCTTGGAAAAGTAGTGACCAGGAGACTGACTGCAGGCGGACGTGGAGCAGGGCGAGAGCTCTGCTGCTGAGCCGCGGGCCGCTGCAGCCTCGTGTGCTCAGCCGTAAGCGCACCACAGCAGTAGACACCTTAAGGTTGTGTGAGGTGTTTTTTGAAAAAATAATATGTGTTAAAATCTGCAGTAGCCTGGGGTATATGTTAAGCCATCAACGTATGTTAATGATTGTTGCTTTAGTGTTAAAGCTAGAGGGACAGTTTGTGCCATGTGAGTTCTATCTGATACATTAGAAAAAGTCATTTAAGGAGTTCCCCTCTCCTTCCAAAATGACAGAAATTATTATTAGAAATTGCCTTATGAGAGAACTTATGGAACCGTTGATGTGAATGACTTAGTGTGATATCTTACATCTGGTAAAACTTGATCAGTGCTCTTCCTCAGAAGCATTTTAGTGTAAACGTTTTCATGTTTGGTTAATAAGAATGTTAATGAAAGATGAAATATGCTAATTAGGTGCAAGACGGAGAACAAGCCATCTGTTCTGCCCATATTTGCCATATAAGGACATAGACAGTTGGGAAATCCTTGGCAGGTCAGACGGGAGCCTGGCTTTAACCACTGGCCTGAAGCAGGAGGTTCGAGTCTTGTTTCTTACTCACTGTGATGTTTTCCCTGGGATTTGTCTCATCTAGATTTAAACACAGGTCACGGTTGCCTCTGCTTCAGATGGTCACAACCATAAGACCTGCGGTTGGCCCTTGTGTTTATAACAGTGCAGAACTTTCCTCTCAAGGAAGCAGGAGCAAAGCAAGTTCATCTCCATCTTGCGAGGGACGAATCTGGGACCTCATGAGGTCGAGATTTGATGAATGTCATGGAGCTGGCTGGGGACAGAAATGGGGAAGACCAGCCCTCCTTCTCAGCTTCGGCTCTCCCTGCGTCCCCTGTGTTTGGTTCAGGCCTTGGGTTCTTCATCTGGAACCCCAGCACCTCAGCACATCATCCTCATCGCGGGAATCCAGAGATGCGTGGGCCTCTGGTGACCGTCTGCTCTGACCCCTCCCTTTGCCGTGCGGGCGGGCAGTGAGCTCCTGCGGGGGCAAGAGGCTCGCCCAGGCACACTGATACCTCTCGGCACAGTCAGCGCCCAAACCCGGTGATTTTGCTGTGTGTCCTGGGCTTTCTGCCCTGGTCCCAACTGCTGCCCCTGCCTGTGCATGGGGCGGCTGCCCTGGAGACTCTGGGCTGCTCCCAGGCGAGTTTACCCGTGGTCACCTCACTTCTGTCCTGCCTCCATCTCCACTCCCTCTGTCGGCTTGGAGGCAGTCTCCTGGGTTTTCCTCGCTTCTCTCAGTTTAGAGGCATTCAAAGAACAAATGGCTCTTCTTGTCTCCTCTATCTTAAATTTCTGTGGCATTTTCTCAGAGTACGGGGCTAAGCATGAAATATTTTTTGTTCTTAAAGGAAGTGATGGTCCTTAGCTATCAAGGAAGGGAGAAAAGCAGGCCGCCTCTGAAGTTCACGACCACCACTAACCTAAATAGAAACACCCCTCTGAGTTCGTCTCCTCCCACCCATGCCGGAGATGCAAGAAGCCCACACAGCAGGCCATCTCTGGCTAGGAAACTTCCCCCTCAGTCTCCTCGTGAGACAGCTGTGATTTTCGGACTCCTTTTTTTTCTAGGCTACACCCTTAACGATGGTATTCACTGGGCTCTGTGCTCCTCCAGCCCCTTCGCCTTAACCCGCACACACCTGAATCTCTCTGCATGTAGGTGTGAGAAACAGGAGTCTTGGGCTGGGCTTTTGCTGGGGGACTAAGAGAACACACCTCCCAGATCCCTAACTTCAAGGAGGAAAGACAGTTAACCTCAAACCGGCAGAAATAATAATGAAATAAAGTATCAGCAGTGTCTGGCTCTCCCCGACCCCTGCCGTGTATATGATGACATAGAACCAAACTTTTTGCTGTTCGTTTTGCTAGTAAATTGGAATCTCTAATTAGAATTATGAAAGGAAGTTGTTAAAATGTTCACACACCCAGCACGAAAGCAGATTCCACTGGACCCTGTGACAGACAGTTCTGTAGTAGATAAAGCTTAGCCTAACAAATCAAAAAGTCATTCTGCGTTGGGCTCAGCCATCTTTTAAAGTCCTTACCATAACTTAGATGGGTTCGATTCTCCATGCCTACTTGTTCCCGTCAGAGAGGTGGGAACTTCCCTGACGCTCTGAGCGTGAGACGAGCTGAGACGCGCGAGGCTGTTTGTCAGCAGCCTCCTTGGTGCCTTTCGGGACGAGTTTTAACATGCTCTCTTCGGAAGCAGAACGAGGATGGCCCTGTTCTTTGTGCTGCCATGAAAAGAATGAGATTCTTTTGGCAGTTGGGACAGAAAAATATCGTTTTCCTTTTGGTCTCTTTTTTAAAAAAAAATGTAAATGAAAGATTATGAAACCAAGTTAAGTTTTGGGTCTTGGGGGACAATTATAAGGGACTTTGGATTTTACTCATCTGACAAAGTAAATGTGACAAAAAGTTCACTTAATAGAAGTGATTTCCAGAACTTCATTTCCACGGTTGAAGGCACATACACAGTGTACATTTCTCCCTGCCTCGCTTGGACGCGACAAGGCTCCGCGAAGGGCATGTGGCCCCTGTTTTGGCAATCGGTGCCCCCCGAGGAGGACGCCCGTAGCTCCTCAGTTGGCGTTCTAATTCCGCCTTTTTCTCCAGACCTCAGAGTGAAGCTGCACTACAGTTACAGGCTTCATCAGTGCTGTGTGCTATCAACCACGGCTTTTAAGAAAATTAAAAAATAAAAGGTTTTCATTTACCTTTCATTGCGGCAGCTGGCTGTCCATTCACCAGATACGGGTGTCTTCAAGTTGAAACAGGCTCCTCAACTCTAATTAAGAATAAACCTTGCAACTAAGGTTGGCAGGGAAGTGAGTCTTCTGGTAAAGCATGAAAAATAAGCATTTCCCCTCCTGCGGGAGAAGGTAGGTGCTCCCCTGACCCCTTGAGCTGGCCCTGTGGGGCACCCCTTACATTCGCCTGCTCCGGAGCAACTGGAGCAACTTGCTCTCTTGCTCATGGAAATGACTCACATCTGAGAGGAGGTGAGATTTGTAGACTGGGGAAGAGCATTTCCTGAACCCGCAGGAACTGGATGGAGGGTGATTCACCTCAAGGGAACACGGAGGCCGGGACTCAGGGCGCCAGGAGTCGGTTTGAGGAGGGGGCCCTCCTCAGTCAGGACCAGTGTTTAGGGTTTGGCCTTTTTCTTGGCTTCCTATTGCTAATTAGAAAATAAGCATTTACAACCTTCCCGCTAATTAAATTTTGATTAAAAGGAATCAGAATATATTTTATGAAAGACAAATCCTTTAAAGATATTATTCTACGTATTATTTAAGGACTAAAATTAAAATGTGTTTATATTAATGATTGGTAAACCTGGGAAACCTTAGTCTTATTCAAGAATCTGATGAAATCTATAGACCTACTTTCACACATACACAAATACAAATATTGAAAATATTTTAAATAAAGTTATTTAAGGGTTGAGTTCCGAATCCTTTGAATTCCATTCTTAAACACGAGACCATTTGTTTTATTCTTTTTAAAAACCTTCCTACAATGATGAATTTGTATAGTTAAATCACTTTTTCTTATTTGCAATTAGTTTTAGAACTTTCAGATAATAATCTCCAAAAGATTCCAAGATTTTCTTGAATGCAACCTTCAAATAAATAAGTAAAAATGTCACCAAATGGAATGAAAGCCAATTACTCTCGTGGAAGAAGATAAATGAAAATAATAATCAAAGGTGGAACCTTCCTGAAGTTAGTAAATCAATCATAGGTGTTCCTTAGTGTTTATTTATACCTTGAGGAAATAGTGTCCGTGTACTGGTTTGTTTTCTTTCTGTGTTTATACAGAAAAGCAAATGTGCATTTAATTTAAATACCAATAGTTGGGATATCAAAATTATGTTTCTTCCATTGCCTTTTCCTAAACAAATGAAACAGACAACCACAGTTTTAATGGTTTCCCTTCCACTCTATTCAGGGTGGATTAAGTCTGTTATGGATGCTTAGCTAGCCCTGGGGAAAGTCTCCGAACAAAAATTGCCAACGTCATAATGGCTTCGTCTTATCAGAACTCGCCAGATTTAGAGTCCTTGCTTTAGGTGTGATTCTTCCCTGCGGCGCTTTCTTCTTCTTCCCCACGGATTTCGCTGTTAGCCCGTGAAGCCCGTTGCTGCATCTTGATGCCGTGCAGACCTTAGTGAGAGACTTGCCCTTCTTGGGTTGAACTCTTTGCCGTTGGTCACTATGATCCATAAATAATAAGTGATGTTGCTCATAGTGCCAAGCCTACCTGCCAGGAGAACCAACTGCCAAGTATTAAAAGCCTCCTTAAAGAAATGTTGAGAAGAGACCTTCTCTGCTGCTTCTGAGGGTTATCATCTCAGATTTCCAGCGGCGTGTGTGAAATTATATTAGGGAACTTATTTGGACAAATATTTCATAAGCTTCTGTTAAAGGAATAAAGGCTGTTCTGTTGTCTACCTGAAGTTTTAAGGCATTGTTTTTTACCTGGTTTGACGTTAGCCTATTAAGATCAATTAATACTGATTTTTTATGTTAAAGAAAATGCCTTTCATTTGTATCAAGCTGCTGACAGTGTTTTTGTCATACTTTTCTATTTTGAATTTGAAGGGAAAATGTTTTGATAATTCAGGATTATAATACCCGGTTTTGAGTGCCTTTTCAAAAGAATCGCTGGAAAAAGGCCAATGTGTGAAAGGAGCATGGTGGGCTTTCCATGTTTGCGGAAGGACCTTGGGTTTTTCCTGCGTGATGCAGCGCCTCCCCGTCTCCACTTGGCGTGGGTCGGTTTATGAAGGCCTCTTCCTGGAGGAGGACAGGAGCTGCGTCCTTTCGGAGCAGTGGGTGGCTCTCTGTTTCTCCTCCCCGGGTGGGCCGGGGATGGGGTAGGCTCTTCCCTTCCTTGGCTGTAACAGAACAGTTGGATTGTCCTGTTAGAAGCTTCTCTGGCCGGCGAGTAAATCCAGTGTAGTCATGAGAAAGTGAACACGAGGAGCCTGTGTGTGTTTGTCTTACTGCTCATCCTGCCAGCCTCCAGTTGGGACTCGTTAAAGCTGGTCTTACTTAACATCCAGAAAGGGAAGTCCTACACGTTTAGTCACGAAAAAGGTATAATGCCTGCTGAAAAGAGCAGCTAAAAACCAGCCTATCATTTTATTATGGTTCAAATCACCCAAAGGTAAACCTGCCTGATTTTTTTTTTTCTATAGCAGGTCTCACATTTCATAAAAGCCACAGGAGAGTTTATAACAATAATTATCTTGCCGCTCCATTGGAAGGTCCTATTAAATGTAGAGATGCTATTTTAATAACATTGTTTAGGCATTACTAACCCCAAATTTATTTTGAATACAGGACGACATCCTGGGAGGTGTGTCTGTGTTTCTCTACCACCACAATGTTTAGAAATTTTTTTTGTTTCATTTTTCACTAGGGGTGATTTTGTTTTTCTTCTAATATTATTTTTTAAAGATGTTAAACCTACAGACAAGTTGAAATAATATTTCAACTGGATTTCATCTAGATTTCCAAATTTTTAATGTTTTTCACTTACTCCACCTCCCCCACCTCATTTTTGGGGATCAGTCTGAAGTTGGTGTCATTGTGACCAATGCCTCACCTCTAATGACTTCAGCCTGAATTTCCTAAGAACAAGGATATTCTCCTACCTAATCACAATACTGTTACCAGTCAAGAGATTAATATTGGAACAATGAATTTTGAAATATTGTCTGCATTAAAATTTTGCAATTTCCCAATAATATTTTTTATAATTTTTTTTTGATGTGGAATCCAGTCAGTGGTCACACATTGCATTTGGTTTTACTGTCTTTTTAGAACTGCTTCATTCTTTAGAACAATCTTACCACTTCCCCCCCCCCCCCCCCCAACTATTTCTTAAATCTTCTTGCTTTTGCAGATTGCTTTGATCAGTGTTTGCTAGGCCCATCCTGTGGGGCGTGCGGTGAGGGGCTGCTTCTAAGAGTTTCTGAGCAGTTTGGACGCATTAGCCTGAAGTCTACGTTGGCGTTTGGAATTCTGAAGTCAACTATGAATAGCTGTGATCTTGTTTTGGACATAGACCTGGTTCATGGATCACTAGTCACAAAGCTGGTGGATCCAAACTCACTTTTTCTTTGGGATATTGGGTGACTCACTCAACTTCTCTTGGCTTCAGTGTTTCTTTTTTTTTTAATTGAGTTAATGATAGGTTACAATCTTGTGAAATTTCGGTTGTACATTAATGTTTGTCAATCGTGTTGTAGGTGCACCACTTCACCCTTTGTGCCCACCCCCCACCCCACCTTTCCCTTGGTAGCCACTAATCTGTTCTCTTTGTCTACATTTTTAAATTCCTCATATGAGTGGAGTCATACAGAGATTGTCCTTCTCTAACTGGCTTATTTCGGCTTCAGTGTTTCTTTAAACTGAGGATTCTGGTTTAATCACAGAATTTTAGATGAGAATCTCCATAATGCTATTGATTTTTGAAAATATATTCTTAAGGAGACAGAGCACTCAGGAAGAGAATGTGTTTCTTAGATCTTATAAGGAACAAAAATTTGGTAAGATTATGGATAAGTCTTCCTAAGTCCTGGGATGAACTTCTGACTCTCTTCCTATTTCCTGCCTTCATTCGTGAGACGTTGGCACGTGCATCACCGAGCTTTAGGCTGGTCTTCTGGTCATTTCTCCTTTGCATATGACTTCTTCCCCTCGCTCCCTTCTTTATTTGCTTCTCTGCATTGGTGTGGACCTGGGCACAACATCCCCTGCTCCAGAGCATTTGTGTTGTAATTCCATTTTCCTCTGTCACTCTAATCTCAAATGTATCCATTTCTTCTTAAAGGAAAATGCACTTATAAAGGGCCTCCTAATCCTTTGTAGCACAGAAACGCATTGTTGCACAACAAAGGCAAGCAAGGGTCTGATGGAAACGTGGCTCAAGTTGATCTTTCTTGAACGCCCATGTCTTTTGCATGTAGCCAGAATGTACAACAAGGATTGTAGTAAAATCTTCACCAGATCTTACTGTTCCATCTCTCTCTACACGAAAGTCACCCCAACTGTGGCTCACATCCAGGAGCTGAGAATTTGTGCTGAGTATGATTATTACAAACCCTTTAATGTTCCCTTGCTGAGATTGGTATCTTTAGGTCCCTGTGCTTGAATTACTGTGTTTAATATGCCCTTTGAAATGATTTGTGTCTATTAGGGCTGCTTTAAATCAAGCACTTACGTTCTTCTGGTATGAGAACGTCATGTGTAGTGGCCGACTGAAGGGGAGGGCTGGCTTGGAGATGGAGTCTGCTGATAAGCCTGTGTCTGGCTCCTGCCCTCACATCCACAATCTCTCCTGGGCTGGGCTGCTGATCCCTCAGCTCATTTTGGAAATCTTGCTGTGAGAGGTGGTCTGGGGCCGTGACAAGAGCCCAGGAACTGGGGTCATACAGAGGCCAGGCAGTGTGGATTTCAGCCTCTCCACTTAGTAGCTTTCTACTTTGGGCAAGTCATTTGATAGAGCTGAGCCTCAGTTTTCTTCTTCTGAAAAGTGAGCTTGGGAATGGCCACATTGTAAGATTGTAAAGCTTAAATAAGATAATATGCAGGGAACTTCTGCAGTGTTTGGAACTTGGTTGGTACTCAGTGAACAGTAGCTTTTGGGGTTTTTTTTGGTCAGAAGGCAGAGGGAGAGTAAGTGCCTGAATGGGAGTGTCTGTTTGAATGTAAAGTTGGAATGATTAGAAATTCAAAACACTCAACTAAGAGGCCAGGGTAAGTCCATATTTCAGTTGCCCTTAGAAAGCTCCTGGTTTTCCTTTAATGAGGAACTGATGATTGCTTCAAGTACTTTTCATATTCTTTCTTAATATCTTTCTCTTCTTCTTCTTCTTTTTTTTTTTGCGGAAGACTAGCCCTGAGCTAACTGCTGCCAATCTTCCTCTTTTTGCTGAGGAAGACTGGTCCTGAGCTAACATCCATGCCCATCTTCCTCTACTGTATATGTGGGATGCCTACCACAACATGGTGTGCCAAGTAGTACCATGTCTGCACCCGGGATCTGAACCAGTGAATCCCAGGCCACTGAGAAGCGGAATATGAGCACTTAACCGGTGCACCACTGGGCCGGCCCCCAATATCTTTCTCTTCTGAATAGGAGGAAATTAGGACTAGCTTATTCCAGATATCTGAAATTGTAGGAAAGTGTAAAAGCTGAGTCCAGGATATGTGGGGGGAGAAGAGGGGAGAATCAGGGTCCCCACATTCTCACAGCTCAGGCAGTTTGAGTTGCAGGAAATTTCAGTTGCAGAGTTAAATAGAAAAAAAAAGCAGAGAGTAATATATGTGTATATGACATAAATTTAAAGCATAAAGTGAATATTTTTAAAAAGCTAAAAAAGTATTCAGATATATGTTAGATAAAATTCCTTAAGGTGAATATCACTAAGTAAGGTCACGTACAAGCATCTAATGTTTAAGCTGCCTTTCAAAAGTAAAGGTAGACGTTTTATTACTGTGCTCCAGAACATTACATTTGTCAGTTCGAGTTTTATTACAGAAGTGGCAAGAGTTCCCATGCTGAGTGAGCTACGGAACTTTTAAAAAAACTGGATGATGATCTACTTACTGTAAGTCTGAAATTCCGTTTTCTGTCTCTTTTAGATTATTACTCCTCCCATGTTCTCAGCTCGCAGCCCTACACTTGGTGTCCCCGTCAGGCCTCCCTCTCCTCCCCTATAAATACTTTTACTAGCAGGGATGGGGGGCTGGGGAGTCAGCACCCTGGGCCTGTGGATCTGTGCTATGCTGGCACCCGTTTTCTGCCTGAAACTGGGTCTGCTTGGTCCCGTGGTTGTGCCTCTGCTGTGTGCTGACTCTCAGGGAGCATGGTCGCTCTGCCCTGCACAGGCAGCATAGGAAGGAGCTACTCTCCTTGGTCTTAGGAACCCTGGGAAAAGCCAAGCTAATAGCACAGCTGTTTGTCTCTCCATGGAACTCCTGTAGACTGATGTGTCCTTTACGGCAAGGTAAGAGTTGCTGGTGGTCCCTCACATCCCGTCACAGTCGGGGCCTCTCCCCTACCTCCTCCTTAACGTCACCACGAGCCTCACAGCTGCAGATTCATCACATTTGACCTCTCCAGAGCGTCATATTCTGTGGACTGTTACTTCCTCCTTGAATCTCTCTTGTTCCTTGGTTTCCAGGACACTCGATCTCCTGTTCCTCCTTTTAATTCACCATTGTCCCCTCCCCTCAATCGCAGGTGTCTCCCCCTCTTCTCTTCTGTCCGGTCTGTCCGTGAGACGTGTGCAACATGGCCTCTGCAGGCGCAGCTCATTCCTTATTCTCTCCCTGTCTTAGAAAAGATGATTCCCTCAGCCTCTGATTAGCCCTGTCTTCAGGGCCCTGGCTCCATATTTTGCCCCTCTGGCTAGACTCCTTGGCCCGGTTCTCTCACTCATGCTTCAAATTCACCATCCCCAGAATCTGCTTCTCCGCCTTCCTTCATGATCCAATACATTGCCCAAGGTAACGATCTTTCGAGCGGGGAATCTCAGTTGGAAGGAGGTGGGGTGGGGGTTATGGACCCCATTGAGAATACATTTTGCACATTAATCACATATATTTTACATATAATCTCCCGCTCTCCTGTGGTCTTGAACTCAAAACCTCTCTCTCCAAAAATGTCTCTAAGGCCCACATCCGATTTTTTCCCCTTGGCTCTTGCCTGCGTAGATGGAACCCTTCTTTAGTTGATCCTTCGGCCTCCGTGGCTCTTCTTTCAGTCCAGAATCATCCCGCTGCCGGCCAATGATTCTCCCAGAGCACAGCACAGAGCGTGAAGCTCTTCACCTGAGAAGCCGTCGGTGCTCGTCGAGAAGCGCAGACACCCCGGCCCACGGCGGAGCGCCGTGCTGGGACCCGCGGGGCATCCCGGGCTCGGTGGGTGCATCCCCGCGCCACAGCCCGCCCGAGCACCTGCATCCCCGGGAGCGCTGGGGCGGCGCAGCTTCTCTTTGGAATGCTGTCTTTCCTCCTTCAAGGTCTGGTTCAATGTTCTATCTGCTGCGAGGCCTTCCTTAGTTTCCCCATTGGGAACCAGCGGCCTTTTCCTGTGAGCCTCTGCGGTGTGTGAATCAGGTCCCTCCGACCACTCACCACGTTTGGATGCGGGCGCTCCGCGGGCCTGACGGTGGCTCCCCAGCGGCGGGCGCCTGCCCTGCACGCACGTGGGAGGGCTGACCTGCTGTGGCCCAGGGAGGCCCCTCTGCGGGGGTCCGCGCCTCAAGAACCCTCGAGGGCTGCGGGCTCCCCCGGTGCTCCTCGGTCCACGGTGGAGCCACGCCGACCCTGGGGCTGCTGAAGTCGGTTCGCGTTGAGCCTCCCCCGCGACTTCAGGAGACCCCTCCTGCCCCTCC